CAATAAAACATTTTTTAAAGTTTTTTTTTTTGAAATATGGATTCTTATTCCTGCTTCCTTAAGATCTGACAATTAAGTGCAGGAGATGCTGTTTCCACATTATTCTTATTATTTTTTTTTTTTTTACAAAATAATTATGTGCAATGTTTCTTTGCATTTAATATGTACAAACCAGATTTTAGCCTGAAATTTGATATAATTCCCGAACCAGAATAATTACCGTAGTACAGTTTTACAGTGAATATAAATTTCATTACATTTTTTGTTTTTTAAATTTATTAAAACTATCCAAATTTTAAGGGAGTAAAATTTAAAACTCTCTAACAAGATCTAAATTCTCTCACTGTTTGAGTTCTGTTCTACAATGTAAATTGCTTCAATCTTCTGACTACAGAGACATGTTTATCTATAACACGATCAAGTCATCACAGCATCAGCACTGATCTTTACTGTCCATGAAGTCACAGGGGACAGATAGTTGCCAGAGCTGATCGTCTATAGCTGGGCATACTCTAAAACCTGGCCTGGCCCCTTTGGCCTGGCCTGGCCTCTAAGTTGGCCTGGCCTCTATTTTGGCCTCTAATTTGGCTTCAAACCAAATTTTGGCCTGGCCTCAAAAGTTGGCCTGGCCTCAAATTTGGCCTCCGTAAAAATTTTTGGCCTCAATTTTGGCCTCACTCAAAAATATTTTCTTTTTCAGAATTTGATTGATTTTATTGATTTTTTATTGGTTTCATTTTTTTCACAGATTAAGCAGGTGATTAATATATTTTTGATGATATGTAAATGTGAACATTAAAATAATCATGTACTATCACCAATAAGGATTATTTTATTGATTATCAATTGATCAGTGTACAATTATTTCATTTTATTATTTACACGTCAGGTATTTCATACAGACACGCTACCGATACTCTTGCATATAATTATTTAGAAAAAAAAGTATTAGAGTTTATTTTGTGTTTTCCAAATTGTGAACATTGAAAAAAATCTCTAGTAATAATTCATGTCAAATGTCATTAATAGCTTTGAAAAATTCCCACTTGTTAATAGATGAATCATCATCTTTCACACACTATGGAGTGTTGTGTTACTGTTATGCCTGCATCATCTGTGTGATATATGAATACAGGCACCTAAGATTTTTTTTTTCAAATAAATATACCAAGACAGATACCAAAATATTTATATCACACTTATTTGATTACTCTGTTAAAAATTCATGTTCACTTTAATCTAAGAACAGTTGGTATTTAAAAAAAATTAAGATAAATAACATTATCAGATAAATAACTTTCTGTTCCTGGTGTGCCGTAACATTGTAATTAGATATCAAATGACAAAAAATTCTGCAGCACGGTTCTTGACAGGGAGTTTAAAGGTTGAAGTTAATCAGTAATGACATGTATATGTGCATAGGCTGTTAAGCCACCCATGATTTATAAAGAATTTCCTGCTACAACTTTCACTACCTACAATTATCAAAACAAAAGTTGAGTTTGATGATAGATTATTAACATTTGTGCTGTAAAACAATTGCATCCTATTCACCATTAGAACCCTATCATATAAAATGTTGTCAATTACTTGCATATCATAGTATTGACTCTTTTTCTATCATTTGTAAAAGTAGTCAACATCATCAAACATATTTTTTTAATTCTAAATAAAGACAGTTAAAAAAAACTTGTATTAAACAAGTAATACTAGTACTTAAAACGGCAAATTTAAAATTCTTTTTAGTTCTTAGTTAATTACTACTCATCTGCATTTCTTTGTTGTCTTCATAATTTAATTGTGATGTTTCTAAATATTTTTTTTATTTAAACAATATTTTATTCACTGGTGTTATCGTGAATAGGGTTGGGCAGCAGGCGCAGCCTATTTTAGCCCTCTCCCTGATTTTGTAAATGTTTTTTACTCTGTAAAAATTATCATTCCTACCATGGAAATTTAAAAAAATAAAGGCACATTTAATAAATCATTAAGAGAGTGTCTTTTTGAAAGTAAAATTATATGCTCTGTGTTATAGTCTTCAGAATTGCAACAGATCAATAGAAAATCATTAAAAATAAATCAGATTGGTAGTAGTGTATAATTATTTTAATGTTCACATTTACATATCAACAGAAATATATTAATCACCTGCTTAATCTGTGAAAAAAATGAAACCAATAAAAAATCAATAAAATCAATCAAATTCTGAAAAAGAAAATATTTTTGAGTGAGGCCAAAATTGAGGCCAAAAATTTTTACAGAGGCCAAATTTGAGGCCAGGCCAACTTTTGAGGCCAGGCCAAAATTTGGTTTGAAGCCAAATTAGAGGCCAAAATAGAGGCCAGGCCAACTTAGAGGCCAGGCCAGGCCAAAGGGGCCAGGCCAGGTTTTAGAGTATGCCGTGTTCCATGAGCATATATGATTGGCAGTGATTAATAACAATTACACTGTGAACTGGGGGCAGGAAGATATCAAGGTCTCAAAGTCTTTATCTTTAAAGTAAAGAATGATGCAGGAATTAGGGTTACTAGGCAAATCCCTATTATAGAATCAATTCTTCGGTTTAAAGAAATACACAATAGTACTACAATATAATACAAAGTGAGATTCAGAATGAAAATAGGTTCTTGTAAATTAAAGAATACATTAATAAAACCCATGAGATATTATTTGACAGCTGCATGTACTATGGATAAGGAGAAATAAATTAAACTTTTAAAAATTTGATGACTTATATTATCATACATGCATATAAAATGTTCATTGGAGGAGTATGGGGCTTAAGACCTATATATTATTATAATTTACATTTTCAATTGTCACTTAATTTTTAAATTAGTGTTATATGCAAGATATAAAGGAGAATGATTTTTCTCAGACATAATTTGCAAATCAGAGTTACCGGTATTACTGTAAACGTGTAACATTTGGTGGTGTGTTCTTTTTAGCGTTTTTGGCGGAAAGAAACATCTGCTAATTTAAGTAAAACGCTAAATGTCTTAAACATAGAACATTAAAATGCGCTAAATCAAACCTATGCTTACTTGTTAAAATATCAATTTCCACCAAATATTGTACACTCTAAATATAAAACATTTACAGTATTTCATTAAAATAGTATGAGAAAGATAAAAAGTGTCAATTTTGCAATATTCTTAATACAGTATGGAAATGCTTTCATAATTCTTGGGCAATTTAAAGTTCAAAATTTTAATTTAAGTTTTGCAATTTTTTTATCGATTTTTCCAGTCTATTTAATTTTTAGATTTTGATAATAGGACATGCTGCTGTACTGAATGTGAGATTTTTCCTACAGAAGATGACACCTAAGAAACTTGTTGAGGCTGTTTTACTGTGACTGATGAAAAAATGCTATGAACCTTTGGAGACCAAGGAATTGGAATCGTCTCTATTATGAAGGAAAGATGTAACCGAGAAAGAAACATGGTTGACCTTCATCAACAATTTTGGCTTAATTTCATGGTAGAAAGGAAAAAAATACTGTGGGTATTATCCTGCTAACCAAGACATTGTAATATGTTGATCACACTGCCATTCAGTGAAAAAGCCCTTTGTGTTGATACATGAACACTGCATATTGCACATGCTTGTTCCGAAGTGAAATATTTGTTTGTTCCTGTACCTTGTTTATATTATGCTTTAAGAAAGCCTTAATTCAAAAATACTTTATAAAATGACAAACTGATTTTTCATATATATTTTGTAGAGTGTGTACAGATACAAAATGTTTCTATGAATATGTACTGCATTTCATATAAAAGAGAGAAATGTTTCCCAAATTCTTCATGTACGATAAAAACTAATATAATATCACAAAACACATGATAATGTTAGAGAGGAACGTTCCTCTAAAGTTATTTTTAAGTGGGCTTTGTAATGTATCAACAGATATCCATTAAAAGACAGAGGAACGTTCCTCAAATGCACGGGTTGCAAGCTTCATGAGGTATACGTAGAAATACAACCATTTGTGAGAGGAACGTTCCTCAAATGTCTGGTTTAATATGATTAAGGTATAGACATATACAAATCTGAAAGAGGAACGTTCCTCATACATGTAAGTATCATGTGTGAACAATGTTAAATTTAAGTGAGGAACTTTCCTCAAATGCCTTATGTTTGACAATTCATGAGACAACCATTTGTGAGAGGAACGTTCCTCAAATGCCTGATATTTGACAATCCTTGAGATGCCTACAGTAATAATTAAATTCAAGTGAGGAACGTTCCTCAAATGCCTGATGTTTGACCATTCATGAGATGTCTTCAGAAAAAAAGTGAATTTGAGAGAGGAACGTTCCTCAAATGTTTAGTGATAACAAATGCACCTGAAGTGTAGAAAGAGGAACGTTCCTCAAATCTCTGGTCATAACAAATGCATCTGAAGTGTAGAAAGAGGAACGTTCCTCAAATCTCTGGTCATAACAAATGCATCTGAAGTGTAGAAAGAGGAACGTTCCTCAAATCTCTGGTCATAACAAATGCATCTGAAGTGTAGAAAGAGGAACGTTCCTCAAATACTTAACAAAATCTTCAAAAAGGAAACTTGTAGAGACACATATAAGGATTTTAAGACCAAAATGACTTCAGATTGTAAACCTTGGGTCAAAAAAAGGGAATTTTGATTTTCCCTTTTATTTTTGGATTGTGTTCAATATACATGTATGTATTTTGAATTCTCATTTAAAGAGGGTTCAGTTTTTACAACTCACTTGAGCTGAAAAACCAGTGAATAACTGAAAGTGACAATTTCCAAGAATACTGATACTTAATCTTATTTTTCAATTTTCTCTGTCACTGAAATTGCTTCCCCAAAACCAGTAAATTCTAAGTAAGCCACAAAAATTGGGCCGTACAGACAGTGGTTTCAAAGTTATAAATGTAACAGATGTAGACTTGTTCTTGTAAAGATAGAAAGTTATTCCTTTTAATGACTTTGATAAAGGATGTTATAAATCTATTGACTTTTATTACATCAGGAACTTCCACATGGATTAATGGCACTCTGTGATGAAGCCAAGAAATCAGAAAACAAACCTAAAAATAGATACGGAAACATCACAGCATGTAAGTGGGACTTATTTTCTGTCTGTTTGTGTGTGTTGTACTCATTTTATGATAAATTGTAATATAATATATTGTAATGTCAGATGACCACTCCCGTCTTGTGTTAGATCCACACCTTGATTTTAATGTATTACATGTAATCTATTGTAATGTTTCAGATGACCACTCCAGTGTTGTGTTAGATCCACTCCTTAATTTAAATGTATTACATGTTATCTATTGTAATGTTACAGATGACCACTCCCGTGTTGTGTTAGATCCACTCCTTAATTTTAATGTATTACATGTTATCTATTGTAATGTTTCAGATGACCACTCCCGTGTTGTGTTAGATCCACTCCTTAATTTTAATGTATTACATGTTATTTATTGTAATGTTACAGATGACCACTCCTGTGTTCAGTTAGATCCACTCCTTAATTTCAATGTATTGCATGTTATCTATTGTAATGTTACAGATGACCACTCCCGTGTTGTGTTAGATCCACTCCTTGATTTTAATGTATTACATGTAATCTATTGTAATGTTACAGATGACCACTCCTGTGTTCAGTTAGATCCACTCCTTAATTTTAATGTATTACATGTTATCTATTGTAATGTTACAGATGACCACTCCCGTGTTGTATTGGATCCACTCCACAATGATCCCAACTCAGATTACATCAATGCCAACTTCATAGATGTAAGTCAAATGCTCAGATTCTAAGTAAACTTATTATTCATTATTTTATGAAATGTGAATAATTTTTTTTTTGAGTAATTATCACAAATACGATTATTAATCTTTTTCCTGATCTTTCATTAAGGGCTACAACAGGAAAGGAGCTTATATCGCCTCACAAGGTAATGGGCACTTGTTTGTTAAAAAAGAAAAAAAAAGTCAATTTATTTAAACACCTGTTAAATCATCAAAGCATTTCACAGTTTGGTGAATCATATTTTTTTTTACTTTTAATAGCATGCACATATAACAATGTTAGTACATTGATACACCTCTCTGACCTACTCAGATATTTTTTTTTTCTGATAAGGTCCCACTAAAGTGATGATACGAGATTTCTGGAGAATGGTTTGGCAGAAAAGAGTCTGTAAAATTGTCATGCTGACCAACTTAATGGAGGCCTGCAAGGTACTCTCTATTGTCTTGTATCCTGTCTTAATATCCTCAGTACTTGTCTTATTTGTGAGTAATTTTAGTCATAGTACCATCAGACTTAAAATTTTGTTTTTTTAAATAATATCAACTGAAAAAAAATGACATTTTTCAAAATGTTCATATATTGTGTAAAACTTGTGAACTTCCAGATTAAAAAAGAAAAATTAATTGTTTTAAATAAAAACATGAAGTTCTCATGGAATTGTTTCAAATTGACAGAAAAAATGTGAGCAGTACTGGTCGGAGGAAGGGGCTGGTAAATACGGGGACATGACGGTGGAAATGTTAGACACGGCAGTTTTTAATGACTTCACCATCAGAACCTTCAAAATAGCTGCAGTATGTATCCATGTATGTCTGTAATAGATTGAATTAGTTCTTCAATAGTTCTTTAATAAATGATGCAGGTTACTACATGTAAATGCTAGTTAAATGTATAGAGTCATTGTCATTTGACTGTATCTCTGTTGATCAGAATGGAGCGAGTCGTATTGTGAAACAGTTCCACTTCACCAGCTGGTCCGATCACGGGGCCTTGATTTACCCCACCCCTCTGTTGACCTTCAGACGTAAAGTTCGGATGTACAGTCCGGACAGCACAGCTCCTATAGTGGTTCACTGCAGGTAAACGATAAAAACTAAACAAGTTATAAAATCACAGAAAACATCTGTTTCTTATTCCAAATTACATGGCATTGTATAATCCATGTACAAAATGAATTAGGAAGACATGATGTCATGTTCTCTATGTGAAGAAGTCATTTTTCTCTCTAGAAAAACTATTGATCTTGATTTCTGTATTATAATTTGCCTATTGGGTAAAATATAACAATAAGTACTATAAGTTTATATTATGGGAAGTAGACATGACTTGTGTTTTGATGTTACAGTGCTGGTATAGGTCGGTCAGGGACGTACATTGCCTTAGACTATCTACTGGACCAGGCTAGAAACGAGAACATTGTAGACGTCCTGAAGTGTGCTCAGCTGATGAGGGCCAACAGAATCAACATGATACAGACGTGGGTAAGTGTCACCGTGATAGTAGTAAACAACAGGATCAACATGATACAGACGTGGGTAAGTGATGCCGTGATTGTAGTAAACAACAGAATCAACATGATACAGACGTGGGTAAGTGTCACCGTGATAGTAGTAAACAACAGAATCAACATGATACAGACGTGGGTAAGTGATGCTGTGATTGTAGTAAACAACAGGATCAACATGATACAGACGTGGGTAAGTGTCACCGTGATAGTAGTAAACAACAGAATCAACATGATACAGACGTGGGTAAGTGTTAGCGTGATTGTAGTAAATAACAGGTGTCATGTCATAGTATCAACATGATACAGACGTGGGTAAGTGACACCATGATAAAATTTTAAAGTGGGTGCCATGATTTCTAACATGTACATATGTATGCTGACATTATTCATTTCACCTGCATATAAAGCAGGTAGAGAACTGTTTAAAAACATTGTATGTTGTATTTGGTATAAACCAAGGTAAATTTCATAAACAGCTTCATTAAGTTTTACTTATGAGACTTTTTCTTTAATGTCAGAATTCTGTTTCCAGGAGCAGTATGTGTTTGTTTACGAGACGATACTGGAGGCCACCCTGGCAGGGGAGACAACTATCGCTCACTCAACGTTCCTTGCTCAGTACGAGGAGCTGTGTCAGCCACCAGACAACGGGGGACCAACCAAAATGGAGGAACAGTTCAAGGTATCTGTAGTTATCATTGAGGCTGTTAATGCTTGTTATGTTATTGATAAAGTTATCCCCTGAAAAAGAATGCCATTTATCTCTATAAAAAGTTTACTGCTTATATGAAATTGAGAAAGATATTAATGACACTTTTGATTGGTCTCAGTTTGAAACATTGGATTTTGTTTGTTGAAGGTGCTACAGAAATTAACCACTAGTATTGACAGTTCGCAGTTTAAAGAAGCATTAGACCCCGAGAATGTTAGCAAAAACAGAGTGAAAAATATTCTGCCAGGTTTGTGTTCTACCACAAAAAAGGGATAAAAGATTCTGACCTTTTCATACTGACTCAACACTATCAGTGAGGAATCAATCCTTTTGAATTTTAAGTTGTTATTTAAATCAAAGTTATAGCTTTTCAATTAAAGAATAAAAAATTACATTTTACCTCCTAAAACTACTCATTATAAATTTTTTTGTTCATTTTAGCAAAGCGATGTCGCCCAAATTTGTACACTCAAGTAGATGGATGCAATAACTATATTAATGCCATGTTTCTACCTGTAAGTTTAACATTAGGAATTTTTAATCTAATTTATTTTTTATAACGAAAAAGTATAATTATTTTTCCTTAAATAAAATGCAGTTGAATTTCGGTATCTTGAACCCTGATATCTTGAATACCATGGATATGTCAAAGTGATTTGGAAGTCCCAACCACTTCTTTAAGTTTTTTACCCTTAGTATCCTGAATGCTCGGTATCTTGAAGTTTTTTTAGTCCCACTGAGTTTCAGATAACTAGGTTTGACTGTATTTCCTATAGAAGGACAGTGCATTCTTGTGTCATGAATTGTCTCATGTAGTATTTGTACAAGGTGTAATGAAAGTTCTTTCTGTTATAGGGCTACCTCCATCGTGACTCCTTTATCGTGACACAGATGCCTCTGCCTAACACAGTGGCTGACTTTTGGAGAATGCTGTATGACTATAATTCCCACACTGTAGTCATGCTGAATGAGTTTGATAGAAATGACAAGGTAAATCATGCAATCAGTTATCTTGATTCTTCATTTCAAAATTTCAAGCAAATTTTACTGCGTCATCAGTGAATGGTTAATATTTAATAGGTATTACCAGCAACAATATAGCCCTTTCTGATATTTTAGATCTGATATTTTCTGAAGAGGAACCCCCCCCCCCCCCCCAAAAAAAGGGGGGGGGGCTACATTCTTGCATCTACTATAGGTATATGTATGATATGTATGAATACCTTGTTTCTGTAGAGTTGTGCCTTGTACTGGCCGGAGGAGTACGGTTATACAGTGGAGTACGACCCTCTCAGTATAGAGTTACTGTCCTCTACTGAAGATAACAATGTCTCCATCAGAATCTTCAAACTCAGTAATCGCATCAAAGTAAGTCATACAGGTAACTCAGTAAACACATCAAAGTAAGTCATAACTCAGTAATCGCATCAAAGTAAGTCATAACTCAGTAATCGCGTCAAAGTAAGTCATAACTCAGCAGTCGCATCAAAGTAAGTCATAACTCAGTAATCGCATCAAAGTAAGTCATAACTCAGTAAACACATCAAAGTAAGTCATAACTCAGCAATCGCATCAAAGTAAGTCATAACACAGCAATCGCATCAAAGTAAGTCATAACTCAGCAATCACATCAAAGTAAGTCATAACTCAGCAATCGCATCAAAGTAAGTCATAACTCAGTAATCACATCAAAGTAAGTCATAACTCAGCAATCGCATCAAAGTAAGTCATAACTCAGCAATCGCATCAAAGTAAGTCATAACTCAGTAAACATATCAAAGTAAGTCATAACTCAGTAAACACATCAAAGTAAGTCATAACTCAGTAAACACATCAAAGTAAGTCATAACTCGGTAAACACATCAAAGTAAGTCATAACTCAGTAATCACATCAAAGTAAGTCATAACTCAGTAAACACATCAAAGTAAGTCATAACTCAGTAATCACATCAAAGTAAGTCATAACTCAGTAAACACATCAAAGTAAGTCATAACTCAGTAATCACATCAAAGTAATTCATAACTCAGCAATCACATCAAAGTAAGTCATAACTCAGTAATCACATCAAAGTAATTCATAACTAAACAATCACATCAAAGTAAGCCATAACTCAGCAATCACATCAAAGTAAGTCATAACTCAGCAATCGCATCAAAGTAAGTCATAACTCAGTAATCACATCAAAGTAAGTCATAACTCAGTAAACACATCAAAGTAATTCATAACTCAGCAATCGCATCAAAGTAAGTCATAACTCAGTAATCACATCAAAGTAATTCATAACTAAACTATCGCATCAAAGTAAGTCATAACTCAGTAATCACATCAAAGTAAGTCATAACTCAGTAAACACATCAAAGTAAGTCAT